GGGATGACGGTGGAGATGACGGTGGGGACGACGGTGGAGATGACGGCGGAGATGACGGTGGAGATGACGGCGGAGATGACGGTGGAGATGACGGCGGAGATGACGGTGGAGATGACGGCGGAGATGACGGCGGAGATGACGGTGGGGATGACGGCGGGGATGACGGCGGGGATGACGGCGGGGATGACGGCGGGGATGACGGCGGGGATGACGGCGGGGATGACGGTGGAGATGACGATGATGATGATGATGATGATGATGATGATGATGATGAACACCCTTGCATCGAGGTCACCGTCATAACATCTATTGGACTCTCAGGTCAACATACTGGTACCATGCGGTACAACGATAAAGAGGTATGCGACGAGAGCAAGACTGACAACGAGGGCACCACGCATTTCAAGTGCGAGGAAGGCTTCGCCCTCGAGTACAAAACAAAAAAGGACCCAACGAAGGGGGCAGATGCCTGGCTCACGTACCCGGGGGCAGACGAAGTCGAGGTTGAGCTGAAACTCTACAATCAAATAAACAATCCAGGATGTGCGGGAGGTAAATTTTCGTCTATCCCCATTTTTATGAAATACGAGACACTAGTTACTGATTGCATTCTCGCAGGTTCAATCCCAATTACCTGCCACAGGTACTTTTATTCGTTCGAGGGGGAATACTGCGACTGACCGGGTTGATTTCTCTCCTTGCTATGTCTGTTTTCTTTCACTTCGCTCGAATTTTACCTGAGTGTGATGCAGCTTTTGCTGTCTCTTGGACACCAGTATGCCCTAGGTACTAGCAATGCACTGCGCTGGTTCTAGGGCGTACACCTGAAATAGTTGAATGTACTTAGTATAATATGTAACATCTTAGCCGCTACGCTAAAACGTTGAGCAACGACTGGTATAGGACTTAGCCTGACTGATATACCCAGCATAACATGCTCCATCGAGTGCATGCATTCGTCTGACTCATAGATTACACCAGACAGTGTCAGATTATTCTTCACAACCGTCTCTCGAACTGCTTCCAGACGGAAAGAGATAGATTCTTTTAAGTGACGGGGCGATGTGACTAAGAAAGCCCAGGGTATATTTTGATTATATAGCTCAACGGAAGTATCAATATCTCTTATTACTTGCCTGAGACTCAAGCCTGTAAGATATACGAAAGGGATGTAGGAAGAGAACAACCTTCGGTCATAGATCTCTAGGGCTTGTAGATCATGTGACTTGAAAGGCGTCCAATCCACGCCCTCGAATCGACAGTGCGACGATCGTGACAACAGGGTGAAGTGCTTTCTCGACATAGATTTGGAAGACATAGACCACCTTCGGATCAAACTGACATGCGGTACAGGGTACAATTATATTCGATCCATGGGAAGGGCGCGATATGCTGGGTGGCTTCACGGGAAAGGGCAGCCTTACCGACATCCACCTGTCCCACACGATCCCACCAGTGAATATGGTGCAGCCCTCGGTAATGGCATTCCGAAGCTCTCGAATGACCACGGTATCTATAGACTTGGTGACTCTTGTTGAACTAGGCGTCCCTGAAGTTGTCTGCTCGAATTTGGTCGGGATGCTCCCGAGAAGAAGTCTTCAAGTTCCATACGATCCATAGATCTCTTGTAAACAGGCTGAATTCTAGTGTCAGATCTACAATTGGCCCGGTATAGGCAGATGGTGTTTTGTATTGCCTGAGCTTGGATAGTGATATTCTCAGGGAGCCTGATTAGGTCAGGGTTGTGGCATTCTATAGGTAAGCGTATTTGGGGTAATTACCCTTTATCTTATTGTAAAGAACAGTTCGCAGGTATAGGATATCCTATTAAATATACATTTACTTTGTAAACTGAAACATTGCGATGTATAGCTGTGCAACCGATACTTGAACATACATGATGATCAAGCAGGGTCTCTGCATGTCTGGGGAAAATCCTTGGGACTATATATATCCTGATACCTCCGAAGATTTATTTTGATCTCCGAACACACAACATATCAGCCCGTGTCAGAGATATCCACATGAATAGAGACAAGTTCTATAGAATGCTCAACTAATTGAAACATAGCGTGCAGTGGCTTAATAGTTACAGATTTGTAGTCAATCCATACTGGATTGTTTCTTGGGGGTAGTTCAAAATGATCCAGAAGTTTCATACTAGGAACAATGCCCTTCCCATTTTTGTAATTGGCATATTCAAATAGCATCCTTCTGATCAGGATCCCTTCTTGAATTCTAAGCAGGAGATTTCATCCTCGTCACAGGTTGCCTGGCCTATATAAACTGGCCTTCTCATCAGCTGTGCATTGTTCTCCCCTTATAAATCTGAGCGCCAGAGAAGCCGTATTTCTGCTACCGCGGCTCTAGGGCACGCTTCTTATTTGCATACTCATGAAAAATGTATGGGGGTCATAAGACTTGCGGGACATCTTGGATATACTACTTGTAATACTCTGGTTATGGAGCTGCTCCTTGTTATAATATGTTGGGTAGTATGGCTAAGGGTGAAATGGCACCTTTTCGAAAGCTCCTCGTGAAATATTGTAGGCTGGTAAACTATGTAGGCTGGCTTCCTGTTGATTAAGCCTAGACTTTGGGAGTTCATAAATAGCGGATTGTGTTTCGCATATAATGTACCGTGCGATATCCTGGGGAACTGGGGAGCGCAGGCACACAGTACACAAACTGATAATCGGTGGGGGTTTGATCTCACGACACAGGTTGTTGTACTATGTAGGTAGTTCTTCGATGGAAAGATGCCCCGAGAGACTCTTGCTAACAAAGAGTGAAACGCAAGATGCTCATACCTGCAATTCTGTTTTGCTCTGTCCCTGGTTTAGATTAGAACGTGGAATGAATAGGAAAGTTGAAACAAGATCAATAAACAAATGAATTGCCGGAAACGAGAAGAGGGCGATAGTTCGATAATATTGTTCGACTTGGTTCATTTTTGAAAACGTATATATGTCACAATCTAATGCGATCAATTACACCCGTCCCCCTCTATTTGCAATACACCACTGTAGCAGCCTCACTTAACCGCGCATCTCACGGAAGAAGTCCATGACACCGGTAAACACGACGAGGAGGATACCGCCACCGGGGCCCAGACGGAGGACCTTGGGAAGGAAGCCCTTGTACAGCGCGGCGAAGCCTTCCTCCTTGAAGACGGTGCCGACGGCAGGCCAGGCCCAGTTATACTTGGGGGTCTGACCGGGGATCTTGGGGGAGTTCTGGATGCGGGACTTGACAACGTCCATGGGGGTGTTGAGAATGGTACCGGCGGTACCACCGATGGCACCGGCGATGAGGTCATTGCGGGTCTGCTGGGCCTTGTTGCCCTCCTCGGGCTTGGGCATCTGGGCGCGCACCTGGAAGATGCAGCCGAAGTAGCCCGCGTTCCAGAGGATGTGGCGCCACAGGGTCGACTCGAGGCCGTTGTACATGGCGAGGGGGCCCTCGGTCGCGACAATCTTGCGCACCACGTCCAACATTCCGTTGTATTTGCCGGCCGAGGCGCGGTCCTGCAGGCGGATCTTGACCAGCTCGAAGGGGACCACCACGAAGGCTTCGGTCGCACCCGCCGTCGCGCCCGTCAGCGTCGCCAGCCCCTGCGTCTGCTTCTCCACTCCGAACAGGTTCCGGTAGAAGGCACCCCAGCTGTCGTTGGCGGCGAACTTGGTGGCACGCTTGGGGGCTTCCATCAGGATGGGAGCGGTGATACCGCGGTATAGACGGGAGAAACTATCACTGGATTAAATGGGATGTTCCCCTCTTGTGTGTTCAAAGCAGCGTACCCCTCATTCTTGACGATCTTGCGGAAGCAGTCGAACATGCCATTGTATCCCTCCTCACCCAGGGCCGCGGAACCTTGCTGCAGTTGTCTATCCGACAGTTAGTTCGCCATTGAGGATCGTCCGATCAAAAGATTCGTCCGGTAGGGAGGGGTTCGCACACTCGAGTCTTGACCACGTCCAGAGGGTACCTGTGATGTGATGTATCGTCAGCGCAAGGTTGATGGGTCGCGCGATGCGGCGCAATCGTGTGGGGACACAGCGTACATGATCAGAATCTATCAATACCACGAGTCAGTCTGCATTTCCTCTCTATCAACATCAATGATTAAGAGGGACATACCTCGGAGACACCGGCAATGGCGCCAGCAGCGAACTGGTATTGGAAGGGAAGAGGCTTTTGGGTGGTGTTGGACGACATGATGATAGATGAGACAATTCAAGTCAATTGAATAATTTCTAATAAAACCAACCACAACAAGACAACAACAACAACAAAAAAAATAGAGGGAAAAAACAAAGAGAAAGAAGGATTCGGGACAATGAGTGGAGAAGTGGAGGAAGAAAGAGAGACGCGAGAGGAGAAAATGATGAAATTAACCGTCAATCCAATCCGATCCGGGGATTTCGGCAATCCGCTGACTCATGACGCCAGTTCCACTGCCCCACCGGTCGGGTCTGTGTACGATGGAGACTCTTGGCTCGGATATTCAATTAAGCATGACTTGACTGAGGGCAGTCAAGATTGTGTCTATAATCTCATTGATCACGGAGTGTGGAGTACACTGTGTATAGCATTGATTGATCATGAATGTCAGGATCATGTGATTGACGTTGTGCATGGATTAGTAATCGATACAACGGCCGTTCGCTGTCAACACCAGTTGCTGTTGGGCTGTTGGGCTGTTGAACCATGCCTGAACTACTGATCGATTGTAAATTCTTCTTCCGACAATCACCAGCCCCACTGCCACAGCCATAATCACCGCGGACCAGGAAATCCCTCTTCCAGTGGGTTCAATATCAAGAACAGTGAAGAAACGCCTGACTAGTAGCCGAACGGCCGTGATAAATCTATACGAGACTACCCGGTGGGGGTTTCTATCACTGCATGTCTGCTGCCTACCTGACGATCAAGTTTTGACAAGCGATATCCGCTTTCCATCATTGGGTTCTCGTCATCGGGCTCCCCCACCCCTCGCATCAAGTAACTGAACAAAAGGGCCGGGATGGCGGTCGACCTTCCTACGCCATGGACCAAGCGGAACAGGGAAGAACAGCCACACAGGGATCGCCTGGAGGAGGGGGCTGCCGGGTTGGATTCCATCGATCTGCTAGCATTAAGTCAAGATCTACGAATCATCCCCATCCCCGAAGATGGCGATGACCTCGAGACCACCGCGCAGAAGATGGAGGATCTCGCCAAGGTGGCCCAGGGTGGCAACAGCCTGGCGCTGTCCACGGGCCTCAAGCTGGCGCCACCCCAACCACAGAACCCAGAGGAGATTGTCATGGCGGAAATGACCCCTCAGGAACGGACGATGTACAACGCATGGAAGAGAAGTCGAGAGCCGGACCGGAGCAGTCGGGACCTGCTTGACCCCCAACTGCCCCGGACGTTCGACTGGGACGCCAATGTGGCCCCCGCCCCGACCGGAGCACGCAGCCACAAGAAGTTTGCCGAGCGAGCGGCGGCCATGGACCTGGTCTGGGGTCATGAGGGTGCCACCCCGGAGCATGCGGCCTGGCTGACCTTTCACCGGCCCAACTTATTGCCCCTCGTCAATGTCATCGCCAAGGTGATCAGGCGCACCAAGCACATGAAAGACCATGGCCCCCAGTCCCGGGGATTGAGCGACATGGAGGCGGCGGAATTGGAGACCATCCGGCAGATCGTCACGGTCGCCGAGCGGAATCGATGTCGGGAGCTGGAACGGATCCGCACGATGACCCGAACCATCGCCGAGTCGGTGACCGTTATCAAGTCGCACAAACAGTATCTCAAGACGGAGACGTCGGAGTAGCATACATTGGACAGGATAGAGAGGGTAGACCAGGGACAGAGAGCGTTATGATGATTAATGATACTTGATTTTGATCTCAATCCTGATCGTATGCGTCTGTTTGTACAACGATGGCGAGCATAAAACAGATTAGTCATACATACTACGGGCAGACTGTAACACACCGCCTGCCCCATTCATCACCGTATTTATTTTTTCTGCCGTTCTTTTTGCCTCTTTGGTTGAAATTTTCCTACTTTTCTCTCTCTTCATCTCATCCAACCTTCTTCTTCTCTTCCCCTTTTCATCTCCCTTCCTTCTCCTTCCGTCTTTCTCCATCCTTGTTTGTTGGAATTCGGATATATTGATCTTGTGTGGATTTGACTGTGCTCCCTCGCTATCCTGATCTATCCTACCTTCGATCACCCATCATGCTCGGCGCGTTTCGCCGATTCGGCGTCGCCCATGCGGTGCGCGCTGCGTCCCCTCAGGCCCAGTCCGTCCGCTCGCTTCCTCAACGCGTGCAATGGCGCTCTCCCTCGATCGTTGCCATCCCGAGAATCGCTTGTTCGTCTTTCCATTCGTCGTCGACTTTCCTTTCGGCCGCGGCAGAGGCTCAGGCCCAGCCCGATGTCCTCGATCCCGCCGTTCCGTCGCGACTCACGCACTTCTCCCAGCTGGCCGAAAAGGGCCTGGTTGATCCGGAGATCGTCCGAACTATTAATCAGAGGATGAAGATTGAGACCATGACGGATGTCCAAAGTCTGACCATCCAGGATATCCTGCAAGGTGGCGATGTGTATGTGGATTTTTGCCTCCCCCCCCCCCTTAATTCCCCTGTGACTGAATTTCGCTGACCTGGTTTCCTTCTCTAGCTTGGCGCACGCAAAGACGGGTACCGGAAAGACACTCGGATTTCTCCTTCCGGTGATGCAGAGATTGATGGAGGATCCCTCGGTCGCCAGGTCCCCCCGCGGCGCGATGAGGTCGAGATCGCGCAACTCTCCTGTCGACATCCGCTCCATCATCATCTCGCCCACCCGCGAGCTGGCGGAACAGATTGCCGCGGAAGCCACTAAGCTGGCCTTTGGCACGGGGCTCAAGGTGAAGACCGCCGTCGGTGGCACGCAGAAGAGGGCCGGATTGCGGGACATTCAGTACAACGGGTGCCACCTGCTGGTCGGCACCCCGGGCCGCCTGCAGGACATCCTGTCCGACCCGTCGAGTGGCATCACCGTGCCCAAGTTGTCGACCCTGGTGCTGGACGAGGCGGATCGCCTGCTGGATCAGGGATTCGCGGAAGAACTCCTGAAGATTCAGCAACTCCTGCCAGACCCCAGCCAAGTCGACCGCCAGACGCTTCTGTTCTCGGCCACGGTGCCGCGCGAGGTCATGACCATGGTCCGTCGCACCATGAAGCCGAGTTTCAAGTTCATCAAGACCGTGCGCGAGGATGAAGTGCCCACCCATCTCAAGGTGCCCCAGAAGGTGGTCCATCTGGACAGCTACGTACACGAATTGCCCGCCCTTCTCGAACTCATCAAGACCGACATGGCCCGCGCCCGCGCGGATCCCACTGCGATGCCCTTCAAGGCTATTGTGTACTTCAACACCACGGCCCAGGTCAACCTGGCCTGCGAGGTGTTCAACCACCTCTCTGTCGACGCTGAAGGCTTTGGACCCCACCCGCTAGGCCGGATGCCCATCTACGAGATCCACTCGCGCCTCACGCAGGGCAAGCGTTCGTCCGTGGCCAACTCCTTCCGCGCGGATAAGGAGGCCATTCTCTTCTCCTCGGACGTGACGGCCCGCGGCATGGACTTCCCCAACGTGACCCACGTGCTCCAGATGGGCGCCCCCCGGGATGCGGAGACCTACGTTCACCGACTGGGTCGCACGGGTCGCGCGGATAAAGCGGGCGAGGGCTGGGTCTTCCTCCACCACGGCGAGAGGGGACCCTTTACCAACAAGACTCAGGGCCTCCCGATCACCAAGGACCGGTCCTTGGTCGCCCCCACCCTTGAAGTCGACCTGATGGAGGCTGAAAGCGAGAACGCCGACAACGAGGCCCGCAACGTGGGTCTCGAGTCGATGAGACAGGTGCGCCAGGCCATGTCCCGTGTCGATCTCCAATTGCGAAGCAGCGCGTGGCGCGCCCACAACGCCGTCCTGGGCGGTTCTTTCCCGTCGGTCCGCGCCCGGATTACAGCCATGGAGGAACTCGGTCGCCACGGCCATCTGTTCAAGTCTCTGCCCCGGTTCGAGGACAGTGGCTCGCGCGGCTCGCGCGGCGAGCGGGGTGGCAACCGTCGTTCCCGCGATGACTCCTCAGCCCGCGGCGGCCTCTCGCGTACCTTTGGCGGCAACAGCCGGATGAACGGGTCCCGCTACGACTCCGGTTCCAACGAGCGTTCCTACGGCCGCTCTCAAAGACCGTCTGGCTCGCGATTCGACCAGCGATCGTCCCGCTACGATTACTAGAGCGCGCGCCGATCCTCTCATCTCACTTAAAGTCCCTAACAGCCACGGCGAGATATGATTCCGCGTGACTCCCAATAACGAGTTTTCTCGATTTGCATCATTGACGGCGTTGAATTGTGTTTTAGAAAAAGGAACCAGCCTTCTCTCCCTCTCTTCTCTTTTTTCTTAATTGAAACGGTTGCGTTTGGCCCAGAGAGTCGATCTTTCTGCGAACCCTGACGGTGTACATGTACATTATATTATGTTTATGCCCCCCTCCAGCCAGATATCTATGCCAGGTCGACATTGCTAGCGATGGTTGCAGAAATCTTGGCTTGTTAATTATTGTATTTTTTTACTATATCTGGGTTTGGATTGGATGTTGCTTTTTCTTCTTTATTATTTCTTTCTTTTCCGGTGTATTATACGAATCTTATTAAATTTTGATCCTGCTTATTTACTCTCTTTCTCTTCTGCATTATTAGTGATTATCATTCTTCACTACAACACTGGATGAAAGGTCTTGATATGAAGAGAAAAAAAAAACTATTTACATTGCGACGAACTTCACATCAGGTCCTACATTTAACATCCCCTAAACAGCAGCACGACGACCGAAAATCCGCAACCGCTTAACACCACCATCCGGCACCAGTGTCAGCTTCACATGCGAGAAAGTACGAGCATCCTCCCCACCAGCCGCCAGATCCGCACCCTCAAAGACATGCTCCGTATCCGCCTGGGTAGGCTTATCACCCGCCAACAGCGCAATCCAGCCCGGATGGTCCGGAGCAGGCACCTCGGTGGCACCAACCTGGCCAGCGAGCAGACCGTGGACGCGCACATGGCGCGGGAAGTTCCCGCGGAAGTCCTTGGTGTCGACGACGACGCGGCTCACTGTCCCAGGCAGACCCAGCTTCATGACCGTCCAGTCGACGTGGCCTGGGGTGCGCGACCGCGCCGTCTCCCACCCGTCGCCCATGTGCTGTCCGCGGCCGGGGAGCAGCAGGTTCGACGACGGGGTGTAGTGCTCGTCTGAGGCGGCGAGGGCAAGACCGCCTAGCAGCGCGGAGGAGAGCTCCTCGAGGGGAGCGCCGGCCCCGCTGACGGCCGGTGGGGGCGGGGGGATGGCGTGGCCGTAGACGCGGAGACGGCCGAACCCGCCGTCCGGGTACATCAGCAGGCGCACGTGGGTGTAGGGGGTCGGGGAGGCAGGGTTGTAGTCGTTGAGCTTGTAGCCGCGGCGCTGGGTTGGGCCTTGCGCTTGCGGGGGGAGAATGGTCGACCAGCCGGAGAAGGCGGGGTCGGCGATCTGGGCGTCGGTGATGCCGCTGTCGGCGGGGGCGTAGGTGCCCTGCAGCTCGGCCTTCTCGCCGTAGTTGCCGCTGAAGAAGCCCGTGTCGATCTCGACGCCCTGGATGGCGGCGCTGGCGACGCCTAGCTTGATCACGACCCAGTCGTAGGGCTCGGGGTTGTGGCGACGGGTCTCCCAGCCGTCGTACCAGGCGCCGGTGTGAACGAAGACTCCGGGACGGTTGATGGGGGGCGTGGGAGTGAGGAGGTTCTTGGCCTCGGCGAAGTAGTCGTTGGAGGTGGAGAGGATCTTGCTGTTGAGGTTGGCTGAGGCCAAGTTGGTGGTGTGGGCGAAGGTGCGGTCGATCTCCTCCGCGGGGACGAAAGTGACAGCCATGGTGTAATACTTGTGAAAATGGAGTAAAAGAGATAGAGATATATATATCAGGGTCTGACTTGGAAGGTTATAATCGACTGAAGAGAGACAAAAGACGAGGGCGACAGGCGATTTAAGTAGTTTTTTTTGGACGCGACAGGACGATAAAGGCCGATCACCTGCCGATAACGATAAGCCCCTCATTCTTTTCTTCTTTCTCTTCTTCTCTCTTCTCTCTTCTCACTTCTCTTTTGCTTCAATCTCTTGTTTCTCCTCATCTCGCATCTCTCTAACTCTCCATATCTCATCGATTCTCCTTTCTGCTTCTCTCTTCATGTCTACTCTATCCTCTCATCTCTGTTCTCTGCAATCCATATCTTCAATTCACTCTCGAGTATACTACAGGCCCCACCGAGTCGGAGGTCTCCGATGGATCGCCCTCTTCCGGTTACCATTGGTTTCTCTCAGGTAATCCAACCAAAAAAAACAGGGGCACCTCGGAGTTAGGTCAATGCGCTGTCCAATGTGAATGCGAGAAGAGTGAATCTTCCCCGCAGGCCACCTATACGTCCACCTATGCATTGTCTCGGCATTGGAGTTGTTATCTCAATCGACAAAACACTCTACTTCCACGGCCAGAATACTGGCTACCAAGACAGGAACAAGAAGAAAAACGGATATTCATTACAAATTGAAACTAATCAAAAAATACTCTCGTGCCAAAACCCCATGTACGCCGCCAGCCGCCGCCGTCCCTCTCACAGGTGGAACTCCGCAAACGCCGCCTTGTGGTCCGACGGCCAACCATTATCTTTATGCGTTGGATACGGTGAGGGCGACCATTGGTCGAAGATCTGAGTTTTCTTCACCTTCAGTTTTTTACCCTTGTAGTAGATGAAGTCGATGCGATCTTGCGGTTCGAAGTCACCCGAGACGCCGTCGTGCCGCGGATACAAGGGCGACCAAGTCACCTCGTTGGCAGCAGGAACCTGGTGAGTCTCACGGAAGGAGTCCATGAGGCCATTATCCAGCGGTGCCTTGGACGTCGGCCACTCCACACCGACGAGGCCGCAGTGCTCCTCCTTCAAACTTTCGACATAGTCCAGCTGCGAGGGTGCGTTGAAATCCCCCATCAGCAGGACGGGCACATTGTCTGCGTCGTCGAGATGTTGCTTCATGCCAGCCATGATCTCGTTGATCTGGTCGACACGGCCGGACTTCTTCTCGCCTTCCAGCACCCCCGCCCAATCCTTCTCCTCGTAACAGACATCATACGGCCCATACGGGGTGTACCCCAAGTGAGCACTCCAGACGTTGAGATGGATCTTTTCCGCTTTTTCGCCGTTGAGATTGACCCGGACAGCGCCAGACCGAGAGACGGCGCCGTACTTCTGCACAATGGGATATCGGCTGAGGATGCTGACGCTGAACGAGCTCTCCCAGTAGTCCCACCCCAGCGCGGTGGCGATTCGGGTGGCGGCTCCATTTTCTGATTCCTGCAAGGCCACCACATCCACATTGGATTTGAGAATGACCCATAACTGCTTGGTGAGGGCATCGTTGAGCTCCACGCCGCCGTGCCAGATGTTCAAGGACAGCGTCCGCACGCTGTCCAGCAGCCGTTTGGCACCCTCGCGCACCGGGATCGTCAGCTTGATCGTCGATGTCACGTCGTTCTCCGCCACGCCGCGCACCGTGACGTGGGAAGATCCCGCCTGGCTCGGGGTCCCCTGGAGGGTGCCGTCCGCGTGGACCTTGATCCAGTCATCCCCGTCCATCTTTTCGAAGCGGACATTTTTCTCATGCTTGCCGAGAAGGAGGCCGTGGAGCTGAGCCTCGTAGGCCTCGCCTTGGCGACCATTGCGCAAGGTCGCCTCGGCCACGGGGAAGTAAATCTCGGGGTACGTTGACAGCGTGATATCGATGGGGTCTGTCAACCACGAATAGCCGTCCTTGGCGAGAAAATACACGGTGTAGTTACCAGCGGCCAGAGAGCTCACGTCAAACCACAGAATACCATCGTTGCGAGGCGCATATTTCCACATCAACGACTCCCCATCCTTTCGGTGTTGGACAGGGCCCTCATTCAGGGGGTACAGACCCACCCAGTTTTTTCCATGCAAGTCAGGCGTCTGGTATTGGATGGTGAGCGACCCGGCGTGCATGTCTCTGTTCAACATCGGCCTGTACTTAGGGGGATTGTCAGCAGCGGACGTCGCGCCCAACAAGGCGAACACCGACACCACCGCCACCGACAAGTAAGAGAAGACACGCATCGCGAGGTATGAACAAGAAGCTCACGACAGTGATCTGTCAGACAGAAGTACTTCTTCTCAAAAATACGGGGCCCAAATCCATTCAAATACCCCCTAGTCACCTCCCCACATCGGCGGAGCCTCGCCGCACAAGATCAACAACAACTAGTTGATCGCGTTAGTATTGTCTTTGATATTGTCATAGGTCAACAGAAAAGCATGCCAGAGTCTAACACAGCCAGTCTGCGTTGTACAAGCGGGATATAGTCTCCACCCAGGCCACCATCATAGGGTGAAAACGGTTTCGAAAATAGCAAAAACACCTTGGCGGTGCAGAATCCGGTGGGCCGCTCTGCCCTCCTCGAACAGGGATCTATAATGTATCCGGCAAGCCACGCCGTCGATCCTTTGTATTATGGTGACATCTTTCCATGCACCATCTTTACTTCGCCCGGCACGATCGAGTAGGGTGTACGGAGTAGGGTGGTGGGTACGACGCTACTATCTGACCTATGCAAGGCAAGGGCGATCGACCCATCTCGCTGGACGGATCATTACCCTTTGTTGAAGTGCTCTGCCTACCACGCTTGTCTTGGCGGTATAGGCCCTAAGGCGGGTGCGGGGCGCCGCCCTACATGGTGGTCTTTTGTTGATGTTTCACACTATCCAAACACAATAAAAAGGTTGTATATCACCCTGGTTTGGGGGCAGGGTTGGGTTGATCCGGGCTTTGTTGTTCGTCAGGTTTATTCATGCGAGGCTGATGTCATTGAATAGACAGACTACATCGAGGTGAGACTGGACTACATGCTAGTTGCTTCAGGTATGAATATGTATCATTCCCTTTCTTTCTATACCGTTACACATAACATGCTCGAAATTCAGAATCCTTTCTTCACTGTTTTATCTTTTCTTTCATCTTCCCACGAGGATATCCTGGAAGGACAAGACACCCTTGAATTGAAAGTTCATTGAATCATTTCAATCATCCTAGTCAAAAAACCAATCGGATCACTAATTTACATCTTCTCACCGGCAGCCTGCTTCATCTGGCCGTACTTCTTCAGGCGGATGGCAGACACACCGATGAAACCGGTGGTCTCGGTGGGGGCGAAGTCACCGATCTCGTCCATGCTGGACTCGGACATGTCGTACAGCTTCTCGGTCTCGGAGTAGCGGCCCAGGACGGCGAAGCTGCCCTTGTAGGCGCGGCAGCGGACCACACCGTTGACGGACTTTTGCGAGGACTTGATCGAGTCCTCGAGGAACTCGCGCTCGGGCGAGAAGTACAGACCGTTGTAGAGGATCTTATCTCGTTAATTTTGTTTGAAACGAAGGGGAGAAGAAATGGAAGACAAACCTTGGAGTAGTTGTAGGTCACGAACTGGTCGCGCAGGGCACGAACCTCACGGTCCATCACCAGACCCTCGAGGTCACTGTGGGGTCAGCCGACGAAACAAACAAAAGAATAGGATAATCGACATACACGTGAGCAGCGCGCAGACAGGTCAGACCAGGGGTCTCGTAGCAACCACGCGACTTGATACCGATGAAACGGTTCTCGACAATGTCGATACGGCCGACACCGTTGCGGCGGGCGATGGTGTTGGCGGCCAGGAAGAGCTCGACGGCGTCGGTGACGACCTTGGGCTTGCCGGCCTCGGTGTACTCGAGCTTGACGGGGTAACCCTTCTCGAAGTGAAGGGTGAAGTCCTCGGGCTGATCGGGGGCGGTCAGGGGGGACTGGGTGAGCTTCCACATGTCCTCGGGAGGGGTGACGTTGGGGTCCTCCAGGATGCCGGCCTCGTAGGAGCAGTGGGCCAGGTTCTCGTCCATGCTCCAGGGCTTGGCCTTGGTGGAGGTGACGGGGATGTCCTTCTCGGCGGCGTAGGACAGCAGATCGTTACGGCCGGCGAAGCGCTCGTAGAAGACGGGATCGCGCCAGGGGGCGATGACCTTGATGTCGGGCTGCAGGGCATAGAAGGCCAGTTCGAAACGGACCTGATCGTTACCCTTACCGGTGCAGCCGTGAGAGACGGCGAAGCAGCCCTCGCGCTGTTGGGTAGGAAAAGAAGCGGTGAGCCGGACGAGGAATCCCTGGCCGGAGGGGGGGCAATCAAGCACCAACCTTGGCAACATCAATCTGGGCACGAGCGATGACGGGACGAGCCAGGGAGGTGCCTATTCATGTCAGTATTGAAACATTGTGGTTTGGTTGAATGGTCCAGGATAACATACCGAGCAGGTAGACGTTCTCGTAGATGGCGTTGCAGGCAATGGCGGGGAAGCAGAGCTCCTCGACGAATTCCCCTACCCCGGGTGAGTGACACATTCCATCAATGTGCGACGTAAGAAACTACTTACGACGGAGGTCGACAACCTCGGCCTTGACGGCACCGAGCTTCAGGGCCTTTTCGCGGATGGCATCGAAGTCCTCTGGATAGTGGGGTTGGAGGGGTCAGTGTGTGAAACGAGATTCGGGAGAGTCGGATCGCAGTACCTTCCTGGCCAACGTCGGCAGCTACACATTGTTAGTATCATCCACAGCATTATAGGTATAGATATATATATTGAAGATGACTTACTGAAGGCAACGACCTCATAGCCCTCATCGATGAGCCATTTCACTAGGCGGTGGGGTTAGTGAGGGACAGCATCAGCAAGGGACGACGGCCGTACAGATGATGCTGGTGTCCAGACCACCGCTGAAGGCGACACAGATCTTTCCTTTCATGATGAAGGTGGGGGGATAATAATCCGAGCGTAATGGGGAGGAATGGATTGGGAGTGGAAGAAGTGAAGTCTGGGGAAGATCCGGAATTTGCAGCTTCAAGTTTGAGTCACAGACGAAAAAAAAAGCTCAGCCTGAGGTGTGGACCGCGGAATGCCTGATTGGGATTAGTGGCTTGGCGTGTTTGCCGTTGATAAGATAGCGATAAGGGTGGCGATAAGATCACGGTCACACCAGATCTATAGATGATTAGATGGATTAGATATAGATGTGTTCATGGATACATGATCAATGGATTCGATTTGATTGAGACTGGTTTGATTGGGGCATATGTTGATATGCTGACTCCATGGAAATCATCTATAATGAAGCATTGTCATGAAATGCAAACTGCCTCAGAACACGATGACCTCATCCGCTGTCGATGACGCCCTTGGACAGACCGAAACACAGAAAGACAATCAATGGAGAAGTCTTCTGTAGTAGTACTGAATTGAATTGATCTACATTGACTCTGTCTAATCTGGATATCTTGTCGGACTCCCAGGACATCACCTGACTGCAGCAGGTCGACTAAACTAACTGATTTCTAATCAATCCCTCACATCATCGATTGACTCCACTCTCCTCATTCCTATATCTTCTGCCATCTTTCCTACATCTCTTCCTCTATAGATTTACAAGATCCATTGCTAGATATACCATATACACCCATCCATATATATTCACATATACCTAATAAAATGCCCAATCCTACCCCCATCATCGACAACAAACCCGCCCCTAATATCCCATACTTCACCCCCGCCCAGGTTCCCCCCGCAGGAACCGCCGCCAATCCCCAATCCGACGGCCAATTGCCCCCAAAGCTCTTCCAGCCACTTTCCATCCGCGGTCTCACCCTGCAGAATCGCATTGGCGTATGTGCTCCTCAGACTACATCCCTTTCCCCCCTTCTCCAGTACAGTGACTGATCAGTCTACAATAGCTATCCCCCCTCTGCCAATACTCCGCCGACAATGGACACCTGACAGCCTGGCATATGGCCCATCTGGGAGGTATCGCCCAGCGCGGTCCTGGATTTATCATGATTGAAGCCACCGCAGTCGAGCCCGAGGGCCGCATCACCCCACAGGATGCCGGACTCTGGCAGGACTCGCAGATCGAGCCCATGCGCCAGGTCATCGAGTTCATCCACAGTCAGAACCAAAAGGTCGGCGTGCAGATTGCCCACGCCGGTCGCAAGGCCTCGACCGTGGCCCCCTGGCTGTCCTCCAACGACACGGCCGTCGCTGAAGTCGGCGGCTGGCCCGACCGCGTCAAGGGCCCCTCCGACAAGCCCTTCACCGATCGCTTCCCCACCCCCAAAGCCATGACCAAGGCGGAGATCGAGGATCTTAAGATCAAGTGGGTGGCCGCCGTCAAACGCGCCGTCACGGCGGGAGCCGACTTTATCGAGATCCACAACGCCCACGGCTACCTGCTCATGTCCTTCCTCTCGCCCGCGGTCAACACCCGCACCGACGAGTACGGCGGCAGCTTCGAGAACCGCACCCGGCTAAGTCGCGAGATCGCCCAGCTCACGCGCGACGCCGTGCCCCCGACGGTGCCTGTCTTCCTGCGTGTGTCGGCCACCGACTGGCTGGAGGAATCCCGTCCGGATCTGCCCAGCTGGCGGCTGGAGGACACAGTGCGGTTTGCGCAGGTCCTCGCGGACAGCGGGACGGTCGATCTGCTCGACGTCAGCAGCGGCGGCGTGCACGCCGACCAGCACATCCACGCCCGTCCCGGTTTCCAGGCGCCTTTTGCGGCGGCGGTGAAGAAGGCCGTGGGTGCCAAGCTCTATGTGGGGTCGGTGGGCATGATCGACTCGGCGCATCTGGCGCAGTCGCTCCTTGAGAAAGATGGACTCGACGTGGTCCTAGTGGGTCGGGGGTTCCAGAAGAACCCGGGGTTGGTGTGGACGTGGGCGGACGAACTGAATCTGGAGATCAGCATGGCTAATCAGATCCGGTGGGGATTCGGGAGCCGGGGAGGAGGAGTCTTTCTCAAGCGTCAGGGGAAGATATAGACCTATAGCATATATACTTCGAGAGTATAGTAGATAGAATGACTCATGGATCAACGTTTTGTGCAGATTAGGTAAGAAACCTGAATTGTTGGGGTGAAATGTGGGGTTTCGCCCCAGGCACCCAGGCACGCAGGCCGGCATCCATGGATCTGCCTCGTCTTTCAGGTTCTCCTCGTTTTCATCTTCTCTTCTTCTCTTCCTCGTTCTTTCTCCTGTTCATCTTTCTTCCATCTCCTCCATCTCTTTCATCTCGTCCGTCTCTCTTCATCCGTCTGGCTATCCTGCTGCCTCCATCTTCATCCCGTCATGGATGCAGTTCTCTCCTTCCCATGAGATCTCCCACCTCTCCAAGCCACTAAGGCAACTAAATCAACAACGGTTCAACCCTCCGTGTCGCATTGTTTACCCCTTCGAGTAACCATCCATCCCCGCACGTTGGAACCATTCCCCCTTATTATTTCTATTATTCATCATTCCTCATATTCAACCACGAGATAAACCCCTGGATAACATACCACACGCCCCTTCCCGCCCCCTGCGTCAAGTGTAACGGTCCTCCCCACTGCACGGACGGGTCGCGTGTGACACCACATACCACTCCTGCAGCCCCACCCGTTTCAGTATGGTGTTCTGCGGGAAGCCGAGTAAAGGCTGCGGCGAATGTCGATCGCGCAAGATCCGATGCGACCAGGCCCGCCCGACCTGTTCCCAGTGCGTCAAGGGGAACCGCACCTGTCCGGGTTATCGCGATCAACTGTCGTTGATGTTTCGCGATGAGAGTCAGCAGGTTGTGCGAAAAGCCCGGACTGGTGGCTCCCGTCGCGCCAAACCCTCGCGCAAGTCGCCCCGTCGGGTCTCCCCGTCGCCCCGTCGGGTCTCCCCGTCGCCCAGCACCAGCAGCTCTGATGCAGTCCCCCCGGGGCCACCACCCGGGGGTGCTCCTGGTGACTTGAACGACCGATCGGATGTCAATGACATCCTGCCGTCATCGTCGCCGCCCGATGAGGCGCTGTCCCCGCTCGTGGGGCCCTCTCCGCGGCTGACGATGCAGCCCTCGTACCAATTTAACGACAACGAAGCGATCTGTTTTTTTCTGCATTCCAACTCGTGGCCCGGGTCCTTTTGGATGATGGATTTCGCCCCCGACTTTTGGGTGCAGGGTGGGGGATCCCCCAGCCACCAAGCCATGAAGGCCGGGCTGATCTCGGTGGGGACGGCCATGTTGTCGCGCATCCGCCAGTCCGCCAACATGCAGGTCACTGCCGAGAAGGAGTATGGCTATGCGTTGCAGCTGCTGACCACCGCGGTGATGGACGAGGAGGAGGCAAAAACCAACCCTACTCTGGCGGCGGTTTTGTTGCTCGCTATTTTTGAAGTAGGTTTCCAGATATCTCCGGAGATAGATTTTGGTTGACTGATCCGGTGTAGGTCGTGACGAGTCGAGCGCCTCGGAATATAGAGAAATGGACGAGTCACATCTACGGAGCGGCGGCGTTGCTTGAACTCCGAGGTTCCGAACAGCTTCAGGACGAGGATGGACTCAAACTGTTCATCCAGCTTCGTTTCCAAATCGTACCTCTCCCCCCCCCCCCCCCCCAACCGATTGACGCAAGTCTAACCATAGCAGATCGTCAGCTGTCTCCAAAAAGGAGCCCGAGTGCCGCAACCCGTACTCGAATGCTCTAAAATTGCCATGTTCCTGCGGCCACACGCCGAGGCCTACTCCGACCGACTGATCAGTATCGCCGGCCGGTTATCCAATCTGCGAGCGGACATCAACTGCAAGGTCCTGGCGGATCAGGGCGAGATCCTGACGGCGGCGTACGCGATCGAAGCGGAGCTAATGGCCTGGTTGGCCAGCCTCCCGGCCGAATTTCTCTATGCAACAGTGGAAGACCCGACGCCAGCGGCAGTGACGATGGGATGGGGCCCCGCGCCGTGGAACAACCGACACCACATCTATAGCGACCTTTGGATCTGTAACACGTGGAACCAGTACCGATGTGCGCGGATCATCGTCAGCGAGATCATCCTGAGCTGTTTACGACGGCTGGCTACAGGGGCGACAGTGCCGGCAGAGCTACAGAGCCACTGCTCGCGCATCCGTGGCACCAGTCGACAGGTAGCGGCGGACATCTGCGCGAGCGTGCCCTTCCACTTCGGGGTGGACAACTTCACAACGAAGCCGTCGCTCTACTTCCCCGTGCACCAGAGCTACCTGGGCGGGTTGATGCTGCTCTGGCCGTTAGTGCTGGCGGGGGCGACAGAGGACCGACAGCACCCGATGCGCAAGTGGGTGATCGGGTGTCTGCGGTTCATCGGACACAGCATGGGGATCGACCAAGCGCTGGCGCTGATCGATGTTCTAGAGTACGAGTTCGGGGTGTTCGAGGGGGTCGAGGATGGCGAAGACGGGGTGGTCTTCCGAGCGCAGGACCAGATGACGCGGACGAACAAGGTGTTGACGGGGACATGGGGGGTGTAACTATCATGTACACAGTTTGGACATACTATACCATACGATAACGATAATGATACCAATGATATTACTATATCAATGATCTTCCTTCGACCCATACACAGCCCCCTCGGCATAAGCCCTATTCTCCGCATTCCTCCCCTCCACAAACTCCCTCAAATACCCCGGCACCTCATCCACCCTCCCATCGCCATCGCGAACGGGCTCCCCAAACGTCTCCCAAACAGGCACAACCCCCGTCCACACCCTCCCCGTAACACTCTCATCCGCACTATCCTTCCTCTCATCCGACACGCCCCCATCGCGGATCTTCCCACTGCCTCCAACGACCCTCACCCTCAGCACAGCCGTAGACGCCATCTCCGCCCCGTCGGGTGGGACCCTCGTTGCAGCCCATCGTCCTGTCACGACGGAGTCGGTCACGAGCCGCATGGCGTAGAGTTTCTCGGCGGGGTCGGTGACGAGGCTTGCGTGCCCGTGCAGGATGGCCGAGCGGTAGTTGTAGCTGTGGCTGTTGGGGGTGAGAGAGAGAATGAGCCCGTCGAGTTTGCTAGCCGCTATGCAGACTGGGATGCCTAGTCCCTTATCTGCTGCCGTTTCTGTTGCTGTTTCTGCTGTTCCTGCTGGTGATCCTGCAGGTGGCGGGGTAGATGCAGACGCAGCCCGCGCAAGATTCATAACCCGCGAACTGACATACCCATGCAAGTAGCAATCCATCGGCTCGTTGATATCGGCTGAGGGATACTCGAAGGAGCCCATTGCGCCGATCATGGGGAGGATTGCAGGGAAGGGGCTGTCATTGTTGGTGGAGCCTGTGTTGAAGGAGACGTGGAGGACTTGGGTGGTGTTTATTATGGAGTGGATTGTGCGCAGGTCGTAGGTTGCTTGATCTTCTTGTTAGGTTGTCTGCTTGTGATACTGAGGTGGGGGATAGGGGGGTATAGATGGAGGTATGGATGGGGTATACCTCGGTCGTTGTGCCGGTTGACTGTGTTGAAGGGGAGTTTGGGGTAGGTGAGGGTTCGGCCCATTTTTTATTATAGATCATTAGATATGTATGGAGATGTAGGGATATTGTTGGGTGAGTATTCAAATAGAGTATGAAGCTGTAGTATAGACTGCGCGGTGGATTGGCGGATATACAGTCGAGTATACTCGAGTATACCTCTATATATAGTCCTCAATCTCCCACTCAATCACGCCACAACCCCTCCTCTGTAACCGTCTCTTGTATCACCGCTATTGTACCGGTCTATCCGATCAATCAAGCTCTTCTGATCGATTATTTCATACATCATGAAGGCGATACCAACCTATCAGACCACTGTCAGCATGCCTGATTGGCCGCGGTCTCCGAAAGGGCGCAGCCTGAGGCATCATAGCTTATCTGCATTGTTAGTAATCCAACATTGTCCATTGATCAATGCACCTCAATAATTCACCTCCAACAATTCATGAATTGATTCAATTCTCCACCATCTTCCAAGCCATGTCTCGCTCCACCATGTCGGCATGCAGATCCCTCTGCCGTCAATGGCCGCGCTCCCTCCGTCCTTCCACCCCCGTCATCCCTCGCGCCCTCCTCCGACGCTCGCCCGTCGCATGTCCCGTCCGCTCCGTCTCGCATTACGTCTCCGCCGCGGAGCTCAAGTTCGGCCAGCCGCTTCACGAGACGCATCCCCACCTTTTACAACCTGGAGAATGTGTGTTTCCTATTTGATACTATCAGGCGATGGCGACATTGAGAACAAGAATACGTATTGACTGATCAGTAACCCCCGGTATTACCGCCCTGGAGTACGCCCAGCGCCGCTCGCGACTCGCCAATAAGCTCCCCAAGAATGCCGTCGCCGTGCTGGCTGCCAATGAGGTCACCTATCGCGCGTCGGGGATTTTCAACCAGTATCGACAGGACTCGAATTTCTTTTACCTTACTGGTTTGTACCTTCATCGTGTCCGGGGGAGACAACCTTTAATTGACTTATCGTGAATAGGTTTCGACGAACCGAACGCGCTGGCTGTAATCGGTGAGATTTTCGACGATATACATGGAAAGTTGCACGGGTGGGGTGCTGATATTCGCAGTCAATGATGGCTCCGGTGATAACCATATCTTCCATCTCTACGTGCGCGGGAAAGACCCCCGCGCGGAGCTGTGGGAAGGTGCGCGATCGGGCACGCAGGCCGCTATGGATGTGTTCAACGCGGATGAGGTAGTCCTCCTCCTATTCCTCCATTTCTGGCCATGCCGCTGACGCCCAGGGTGTACAGTCCGGCGACATCGAACGCATCGGCGACATCCTCCCGAAAATCCTCGGCGACGCGACCGAGATCTACACCGACATCCCCGCCTTCAACACCGGCCGATCCTCCCTGCATCGGTATCTGTATGGGCCCATCGGGGCATCCGACAAGCTGAAGAAGATCGTCGACCACCGCAAGACCAAGCCGTTGCGTCCTATCCTCAACGAGATGCGCGTCTTCAAGAGCGAGGACGAGGTGGTGCAGATGCGTCGCGTGGGCCAGGCTTCGGGTCGTGCCTTTACCGAGTCGATGCGCCAGACTTTTACCATGGAGAAGGATTTGACTAATTTCTTGGAATACAACTTTAAGAAGAATGGCTGTGATGGCAGTGCGTTTGTGCCTGTTGTTGCGGGCGGTTCGGTGGGTTTACTTCCTCGTGGAGAGGGGATTGTAGCTGATTGTTTTAGAATGCTCTGGCCATTCACTATACGAGGAACGACGATGTCTTACGGTATGGAAGGCCTTACCCGTACTTGTACGGTGAATTATATACTGACTGACCAAACCACAGACAAGGAGACATGGTGCTGGTAGACGGCGGTGGGGTGCGTATATACACCAACATGACAGACGATGTCTAACTAGTCACAGGAAGCCGGAACGTACATCTCAGACATCACGCGCTCGTGGCCCGTGAATGGCAAATTCTCCGACCCCCAGCGCGATCTGTACAATGCCGTGCTGGACGTCCACCGCAAGTGCGTGTCGCTCTGTCGGGAGGACGCCGACCTGTCGCTGGATCGACTCCATTCGGTGGCGGAGAGCGGCTTGAGGGAGAATCTGCAGCAGCTTGGATTTGACGTATCGAGTGATGTATGCCTTGCTTTTTTCTTTCTCTGTTCGATGCAATGAACGTTATGCTAACCAACTAGGCCATGGGAATCCTCTTCCCCCACCATCTCGGACACTACGTCGGACTGGACGTGCACGATTGCCCGGGTTATTCGAGAAGTTACAGCCTCAAAGCCGGGCAGTGCATTACTGTTGAACCGTACGTATCCATTCAATTCCCTTTTCTAGATTCTTGTTGTGTTAACGGTCCCAGCGGTGTATACGTCCCCGACAGCGACCGGTGGCCCGAACGATTCCGCGGCATCGGGATCCGCATCGAGGATAGTGTGTGCGTTGGAGACGAGAGCCCGATTGTGTTGACCACTGAGGCTGTCAAGGAGGTGAGTTTTATTCTAGTAGAGGATGGTTAGATGTGCTAACGAGTATAGGTGGATGATATCGAGGCGCTTCGTGATTAGACGCAGGACATGTCGATACTTACATTATATCATTGCATGTACTATATCTATCTGTATATTTATGTCAATCATCCATGTCCGAGATACATTATAAATTGACGAGAATTGGAGTATACATGGAGTGGAGTAAATAAAGTTAGAGTATCTGAACAGTGTACATGCAAGTATAGTATGCGGATACACAGACGATATCAATCGGAATCAACAAGAAAATCGGCTAGAATCGGAGGCCGGTCGAATTCCGGCCTGCCGTGACTAACAAACGTTAAATCGGGCTGGACCAGAGAACGCTACCCAATCATTCAGCCACAATAATGGGGAGAATGGAGACACGGAGACCTCCGATTGCAACGCGCATCCACTTGGCCATTTCTCAGCATTCCGATGTTCGTTTGGGTGATGAGCGATGTCGATCACCGGTCACGGGGTCTGTGATCACGGGGGACGACCGTCTGGTTTGGGTCTAGCGTGTTCCCGTGACCGTGTCTTGCCCTGATTTGATATTGAACTGTCGAAGGCATCATGAAGTGGTCTTGATCATGGGCCGTTGGGAATGGCTTCGGATGGGGGAGAGGGGATGGGGGAGACTTGATATATAGGTTGGGACGCCTCCAGTAACCCCTTGACCAGAAAATGGGCCATGTGACATGGGTTTCACTGGCTCTTTCGTAATGGCATCCTTGAGGCCGGAATTGATACCGGCCTCTCAGGGTTATAAGAATCGCCTCCTTTCCGGCGGATTTCTCTTTCTCTCTGCTCTTCAGACTTCTCTCCAGACTTTTCTCCCACTTCTCTTTTCCTATTTTCTTCTATCTTCCTAGTTCCCAGTCATCTAGTCCATCACCATGTCTCCTTCCAAGGTGTCCCCCCCATCCACCACCACCCAACACTTCCCTCATATCCACGATGACCCAGCCTCCCTTCCCCAGTCCCTAGACCCCTTCACAATCACCACATCCACAGGCTTCATGCCCTATCGCATGGGCCCCACCCACCTCCCAGAAGCCTTCCAGCCCCTGATGGCCCTGCTCGACCGTATGCCCGTCCGCAAGGCCGACGGCTCCCCGGGTCTGCTGGCTACCTATGAGCTGGGCCCTACCGTCCAGGCCGGCTTCCCAGACCTGACGGATGAGGTGGACAAGCTGGTTACTGAGGACGGTGCTCCGGATCTGTTTACAATCACTGCTGTCTTTAGGGACTACACTTTCCTGGCGTCGGCTTATCTGCTTGAGCCTTGCTGGGAGAGCTGGAACTGTAGTGCTGATAAGGGTTATGGGTTTGGGAGGGATGTGTTGCCGAGGGCTATTGCTGTTCCGATGTATCGGTGTGCTCAGCTGTATGTTTATCATCTTTTAACATCCTTCGGATATCTTCCCTCTGCTACCCTCCTTGGATATCCTCTTTGATATCTACCTTTTGGTATCTTCGATAAAGATAACTAATGATAACAGCCTCGACATCCCCCCCTTCATGTCCTACGCCGCATCATACGCCCTCTTCAACTACAACGTCGCCGACAACGCCAAAGGCCTGGTGTACGACAACCTCCGTCTAGTCCGTGCCTTCGAGTACGGTCTCGACCCCAAGAGCTCCGAGGCCGGCTTCATCCTCACCCACGTCGACATGGTCAAGTGGTCGGGCAGTCTCATTGCCGGTGCTATCAAGATCGTCGATACCATCGAGCAGGGTGGACCCCGCTCGGATGTTAATGATGGGTTCAGGGAGATTTTGTCTGCTATGGAGAAGATTGAGGCTGCTATGGAAGGTGTGTCCCCCTCACACATATAGGTGTATATATTACCTCTATATTTATATACAGAGCTAACTGTGATACCAGATATGTGGGCAAACTCCAAACCCGGCGAATACCTCTCTTTCAGAGTCTTCATCTTCGGCATCACTTCCCAGTCGATGTTCCCCAATGGAGTCATCTACGAAGGCGTCCTCGACGACAATCGTCTCAACTTCCGCGGCGAGAGCGGCGCCAACGACAGCATGGTACGTCCCCCTCCCCCCCTCCATCCCTATTCATGAAAATCGAAATAAAAGTATTAATAAATTTGAAGATCCCCCTCCTAGACCACCTTCTCCAGATCCCCATGCCCAGCACACCCCTCACCAAAATCCTGCACGAATTCCGCGCCTACCGCCCCCTCCCGCACCGCGAATTCCTCGCCCACATGAACGCCAAATGCGCCGAGCTGGACATCCGCGCCTTCGCCGTCCGCGACACCGAGACTGCCATCTGCTTCCTGAAGACGCTGAACCATGTGCGCAGCTTCCGGTGGAGGCATTGGCTTTTTGCCCGCGAGTATATTATTCGCAGGACGCCGCATCCGACTGCTACTGGCGGGAGTCCGATTGTTACTGTATGTTCCTTTCTTTCTGATTTGCCCTGTTTTCGAGGTGAGGGTGTGGTGGTAGATGCTAATGTGTGTGTGTGACAGTGGCTGCCTAATCAGCTCTCTGCTGTTATGGATATGATGATCTCGCTGTATGAGACGTACCTGGCGCCGCAGAAGACCGCTGGTGGGAAGGGTCCCGACGGATTGACCGGCTATGATGCGGTGTGCCAGAAACAGGTCGAGCCCATGATGGAGATGGTGCGCGATCAGAGGGAGAAGTTGGCGAGGGAGGTGGAGCGTTGGTGTAAGGAGAGGGGAGTGTAACTTTTTTCTGTTTTCTTTATGTTTTATTTGTGTAGATATAGAATGGATGGTATGTTGACTCTTTGTTATGGGTGGATCTTAGTAGGGTAAAGAGTAATGGCCGCTACGCCAAAACCGTCGACGGGCTTTTTGGGATAGGGCTTAACCTGACTATATCCCCAACAAGAAGTTTGTTTACGGTAGACGAGCTCGTTACGGTAGTGTAGTGAAATCAACGCTTGATGGTAGATATGTACAGACTTAGTTAGGACCATCTTGCTCAACAAGTGTATCCCACGCGAAACAGTAAGGATTGTAATAACAGCAATACAAGGAGGAAATAAGGGAAGGACGAAATCAGAGGACAATAGGAAAGGTCCAGGGTATGGGAGACACAATAACCGATACAGAAACAAAAGCCTACTACAACTCTCCCATGGCTCGCTCGTCTGCCACGCGCATCCGCAAGAAGATGGCCACCGCCCAGCTCCACAGCTTCCGCGTAATCACAAACACCGGAACCTCGGGCTCGTTCTCGCGCGTCAGGTGGAGTTGAAGTAGCAGTAAGGACGTGCTGACAAAACTGGCCACCGAGAACACCAGCAGGGATGCTGTGGTTTCGCGTTTGATCGTCGCGTGGTTTTGCGTTGCGTGATAGACGAACGTGAGAGTCTATCATTCGTTAAGTCAGATTTAGTCAGATTTAGTATTCACCGGGGGCGAGAGAGGTACCGTTGTAATGGAAATCCAGGCCGGAAGAAGAAGACGCGGATCAGACGAAGCGCCAGAAAGGTACAACACCCAAGACGAAATGTAGGCGATCAATCCATTGGTGGTGAGAAGACGAATAACAACGGCGGGCGGGGTATAATTCAAAAGCCTGCTCGGTCAGAAGTTGGAACAATACAACCGATCGGATGACATACCATCGAGACATCATACAATCGGCGAAAAAATAAGAAAGATAGGCGGATGCACAGCACTAAACAATTAGTCTCCGTATCGCTCAACCGCAGTGGATGATAGTGAATGATAACTCACCCACATAATCGCCAATGCCACCTCCGTCACACGAAACCGCCTCTCCACATCCCATTCCTGTCCAGCGCTCCCCACTATCGCCGCCGTCCATCCCTCGCGTCCCATGCCCGGCCGGATCTGCAGCAGTTCGGCCAGGAAGGTGAAGGCGCACCGCAGCCCCCACCACGCCGCCGGCACCGTACTCAACGCGCGACAGATGATCAGGGGCAGGTACCACTTCCGATCCACCCCCAAGATGACTGCGACCCGCGGGTGCAGGGTGGAGGTGGTGGTCGCGTGCTCGGCATCGTTATGGCCCGGGGGGTGGGACGTCGAGGGGGCGGGGAATGGCGGGGCCGCGGTGGAAGTCGTGTAGGCGGGGGAAGCCACGTCTCTAACTTTATCCTGGAAATCCAGCGAAGGGTTCCAGAAACGCGCGGGGACAGGTGGCAGTGGATTGGTCCGGGAGTTTGCGGCCGGACGGGAAGGGATCAGGTCAGGTTCAGACGGTCGGGAGTGCAGGGAGAAGGGTAGAGGAACTGCAGCATCACGAGAAGGAGCCAGCCTTTCTCTACGGCATATGCAGCCGTTGCGCAATCCGTCCACAAAGGGAATGGAGGAACGAAGTCAAGAGGACTGGCTCACACGAGACCAGTTGGTGTGATATGGGGGGATGGAGAGGGGAAATGTCGATGGCTAGAAAGAATAGAAAGATTCCCACAAACGGACCCTGTTGAGAGGGAGATAGCCACTGAGTTGAAGCAATTCGACACCCTAAACAACCGATCCGAGGGAAGAGTGGAGTGAGAAGAGGAGTGGGATAGAAAAGAAGAGGAGGAGAGAGAGAGAGAGAGAGAGAGAGAGAGAGAGAGACGGAGGTGAGTTTAAGGTAGTGTCGTGGGTACCTTAGGCAGGCAGGCAGCCGGCCAGCACTCACGTGACCCGTCCGCGGATCTCGATCCGATCATGAGAATTATTTGCATCTTCACTCCGGCGCTTCCTCTTCTTCCCCACCCCTCGCACGACGATATTTTCTGGTCTAGTCGGTGGCCCGCAGTTCGAAATGGCTTCGTCACTTGCCAAGGGTCCCTTGGTATCGACCCTCCGATCCAACAATGTCCTTTCCCAGCGCTCTTCCGGTCCTCTCGCTTTCGTCTCCGCGGCCTCCCAGTGCAGGCAGTTTTCCAACTCTCCCCAACATGGCATGGGAAACATGCGGGGGGTGCCTCAGAACTTCTCGGTGAAACAACCAGCACAGCCGAGCACGAAAACCCGCGGTCGGGAATTGTCGCGGGCGGACTTGCCGCAGGATATTGGGCTGTTGCCCGGCACATATGTTCGACAGCTCTGGCGGGACATGCCGTCGATCTTTCACCAGCCGGCGGAGCGCTTGCGATTAGAGTGGCTGTGGCTGAAGACGGGATTTCAAAACTTTCTGGGGTGCGCTTTTCGACGCCCAGGCTGGGTTGTGGAGTGACCGTATGCTAACGATCCCAGTCTTCTTGCCTACTGTAAATGGGTAAACAAAGGATTACCCCTCCGACTGAAGGAGCGCCGACAGGTCGCTGGCGAACTTCACCAGCGCATGTATACCGCATTCGCCGAGTCAGTTTCTACCTTCTCCAGATAATTGTGGATGGACCCATACTAAGACAACCTCTCGGGCAACAGTGGAAACCTCCCCTTACTGCGCAAGACGTGCTGCACCGGTCTGGCAAACAACCTCGGCACGCGGATCAGCACCCGTCCCAAGGATGAAAAGGTCACCTGGCATCTGGACAAGTATATCCGCTCGCCGTCGACGTTCCTGACCGGCATCCGTGTGGTCTCGGACCGCGCGACCCAGATCCCCGAGCTCCCGGATTCGGGCGTCCGCCAGGTGGTGGTCCGCATCACGAGCCGGCAATCCACCGGAAAGTCCAAGGTGCGGACCCAGCGAGGCCAGCAGACGCCAGCCAACGAGGTCGAAGAAGCCGCTCCCGTCAAACAGCAGGACTGCACCGAGTACATTGTCATCCAGAAACTCCGCTGGGTCGGCGAGGAAACCGACTGGAAGGTTTGGGGCCATACCTCGCCTACGACGGTGGACAACCTCAATGATCCGGCGTTTGCTGCCGGGCTGACCATGCGTGAGCGCATGGAGGCCATACAAGATCAGATGGCTGGCAAGAAATGAGGAGACACTCGGTTTGTGGCCGAGGTCCCTTAGTGTTGTCAGAGCCAGCTTGGTACGCTGAACATTCAGGACGATGGCTCGTTCTCTGGCTTATGTCTACTGGGTCAATCAGAAGACACGACAGATGGCCAAGGTCTATAGAGGATTTACCTCCTCGACGATTCACTTTGGATTCTGTATATGACCAGCCCTGCATTGACCCTCCCATCCACCTACAGCTATCCGGTTCACCTTTGTATCAAAATGCGAATATCCGATCCCCATGATGTGTTTTGCGCTTCCTATTTGATCGATCTTCTGGGTTGGTTTCTCTGGAGCCGACTCCCATCTGTGTCATTACCATTTGTACTATATATCCATCTACGCCCATCCTGTGTATTACCTCATTGATAGAAATGAAAAGTTCAGGAAATGTTCCAATAATATCACCTTACACAAGCCATCCTTTTGTAGTGAAGACTGCCATGAACTTAAGGAGTATCCAAGCGCACCGAGACACCGAGCAAATGTATACAACTCCCGAAAAGGCTAGCGTGCGAGCCGATCGGGGTGATCGGCCCGACGAATTGGCCGCCTGTGGGGAAAAGAAAGAAGTCATCGATCTTCAATCCTTTTTTCGTTCTTTCCTACGACTCATCCAATCTGGACGACAGACAACCATGGCTCCCATGTCAGAGGAGGACATCGAGTGGTTCAAGTCCACCTTCCATCCGATCCCCAAACCCGAGATCCCCGACGACTGTGTCGAATATGCGCTGTACCATCTCCCCTCAGACCCCGCCCCCGCCGCGGTCGACACGGTCGCGGAAACGCGAGCTCGCTTGGTGGAGGTGCAGCGGACAGCGGCGGAGCTGTCGAAGCAGCTGTTGAAGGATTATATTTGGCAGCGGGATGGGTTTCATCTGGAGATCAGCAAGGAGGATGGGACTACGGCTTTGCGCGGGCGCACGAATTACGGAGACTCGATCGAGGATGAGTGGGTGGTTGTGTATATGCTGCGCGAGTTGAGCTTGAAGCATAAGGATATTTGGGTTCGTGTGGTGGATAGTGATGGTCAGTTTCTTTTGGTGGAAGCTGCGGGCGCTTTGCCGGAGTGGCTGGAGCCCGATGTGGCGGACAATAGGGTTTGTTTCCAATCTCGTTCTGTTTTGCAATTGGTGCTGATTAGCTGTGAAGGTATGGATAAATCAGGGACAGTTGGTGATCATCAAACCTGCGAAGGAGAAGAAGGGGAAAGTGACGGAGAAGCTGTCGCTTGCGGAGTCGCGAAAGGTCATAACGGAGGAACCTGGTCGGTTGATGCGATCAACCATGATCCAGGAGGAAGCCTTCTACCGGTTGCGAAACTACCCCCAGCAGATCAACGAGAACCTACATTCCGCCCTCGTTACGCTCCCACGGAAAGTCGCCTTCCTGTTGCACCAGAAACCCGGCTATATCTCGGCGGCTGTCGAGGCTTTCTATCTACGAGACCCAATTGCACTGCGGCCGCTTCGCTCTAAAGGACCAGACGCCCTTCTCTTCAAGCCCGAGGATTTCGTCACCGTGAGCGTTCGATTCACCAGGGTGGGTTACGCGCAGCTGAAGAGCCAGGACTTCCCCGCGCCGAAGGCATGGTTAGATCAGCTTCCCGCGAAAGAGCAGGAAAAGGAGCATGATCGAGCGGAGATCGGAATGAAACTGTCTTGTGGCTTTGAAATGCTCCTCACCGACCCGCAAAGCCAGGACAAGCCCATCGTGCGAGAGATCAAGCTCCTATTGGAGGACGTGGATTCCGGCGACGAGCGGCTACCCTCTGACAGTGAGATCTCTACCTGGGACAAAAAGGAGGATGACGAGAAGTGGCTGGATATCAGTTTCGAAGACCTGGATGCGGAACTGAAAGGGAGAGGCAAAAGCACGGCCGACAAGGACAAGGCCGCCGGAGACTTCGGAGATTCCAATGCCCAGGAGAACCTGCAGCGGATTGTGGCCCGCTTTGAGGAGTTCTTGAACGATAACTCTGCCGGATTCGAAGGCGCCGATTTCATCGATGACTACGGATCCGATTCAGACGTCAGTGACGACGACGACGATGCAGTTAGCAGTGACGGAGAGGACAAGGAAGCCTCCTTTGACGAAGAGGAGTTCTCCAGAATGATGAAGGAAATGATGGGGATGCCATCCGGAGCGCCGACAATGCCCGGATTGAAGCCCCCGAAGAAGCCGTCCGCGCCACGCGGTAAAGTGGAGGATTTGGGCAGCGAATCGGAGGACGACACCGAGCAGATCAAACAGCTTTCGCGCGAGATGGAGGCTGAACTGAGAGGAACCGGTGTTCTCGACCTGAACCGCAAGGGCAAAGAACCTGTCGGGAAGAAGGCTGTATCCAAGGGGGAAGAAAAGACGGCAGAGAAGAGCACCGACGAGACTGATGTCAACGCGGAGGACGAGGATATCGATATTAATCTTGCGAAGAACCTTTTGGAAAGTCTCCAAGGTCAAGCGGGTGCTGCTGGGCCAGCGGGGAACATGCTTTCTATGATGAACTTGCCTATCCCTAAGGACGACCGTCCTCGCTGAAGCTAGGCTTGAGACCTCGCCGTAGCCTTCGGCTTCGTCGACTGTTGGCCATTGCCCGCAATGTCCGGATTGTCCAGCCTCCAAAAAAGCGAACTCTACTCTCGATCTATGGACAATCGCAAAGTCCGTGACTACGGGAAAGAATCATACTGATTCGGTGTTTGCTATCTCTCTTCCTATCCACATTGCTATGGGTCCCGGGGTCGGTTTGAATCACCTCCTAAAGGGCATCTGAACATACAAAGGGATACACTCGGAGTGCAATCGACAAGCATCCACCACGATCGGATCATTCGGCTCTTCTACAGATACAATCAATACGAACGTTGCACATTTAGCTCACTGGTCCGATACGACGGTGCTCGTGTTTACTATGCACCAATCGATAGCCATAATGGTCAAGGATAGTCAGCATCGAGTTTCGTCAAGAGAAGATTCTCGCGGCTAGTGGAACCCCCTTTTTCAATGAAACAAAACAGTTTTCTCGCTGAAGCGCTTGCGGTCACACGGGTTGGTAAACCCGTCGCAACCACCATCGAGAGGCCGAATTGTTGACCCGACGGCATGCGTATACTAGCTGCGTACATATTTTATTATATCTGACAGTGTGATCATGCTTTTGATTATCTCAGTGATCATATGCTTGATGCATCTCTGTGGGACTCGTGGTCTGGTCATTTCTCTAGCTAGATCTGTATCCAGGATCATCAACCTAGCCAATGACTATCTTTGAGAACAACTTAAAACTGTCATGTACGACTCAGACTCTACCTTTGGTCCTATCGTCCTAACATTTTATATAATGTAATAGAAGGAGAGGCTCGAATGGCCGACAAGGTATGGAGGCCGAAGTACATCATGCTATGGGAGGCAATGTAGTGTAGACATACATTGTTAGAAACAGTGGACAGATAATCTATTGCCTGATGTATAATAGCCGATCTCGCGTAGATTTTCTACATGATATCGTTTGTTCAATCACAGAACATGAGCCGCCATGTCTTCGCAAGAATGAAATCTAGATATACATCAAGTATCACGTGATGCCTTCTCCGGCTTGGCATCAAATTCATTCCGCCGATTCCTCCAACTCGTCCTCCGCAGACGCATCGTCCTCTCTGTGCCGGCCTCTCCCATTATATCCCACCGCGAACCCGAATTTTCTCCCGTTCCTCAATCCCGGAAGTCCATCCCCATAGCGATCCACCGACAAGATGATCTGCCAACGGTGCCGAACGGGCATTCTCTCCCGCCTGCAGCAACCGCAGACTGCCGTGTCGTGGTCGGGAGCACGCCAGTTCCCCCTCCAGCGGTACCAGCACCAGGTCCGCTCGTACAGCGACGGCAAGCCGACAGTGTCCGCGACTCCGCCGCCGCCGGCCCCTCGCCAGCCCGTCACCGACGACGTCTCGATCCCGTCCGCTGTCTCGTCCGCGACCCCCGGCGTGTCGCAGCCGCTCAGCACCCCCGGCGAGGTGCACATCAGTGCCGGCCAGAAGAAGACCCCCAAGCAGGAGCGGCCTCCTAGCTGGTGCATAGCCGGATCCCGTATGACGGGCCTCAACTATTTCAAGAATAAGCCTGATGTGCTGGCCCTTGAGGACTCGGAGTATCCCGAGTGGCTGTGGTCGCTGTTGGATGGCGGGAAGAGTGAGAAGAAGGGCGGCGTGGATCCGAATAGTATGTTCTTCCTCTTATGTGGATTTTCTTTTGAACCAAAAAAAAAAAAAAAAAAAACCCTTGCTAACTGGTTTTCCTGTACAGCCCTGAACAAGGCCCAGCGCAAGCGCTACGACAAGAAAATGGCCGCTCGCGCCGCGACCCTCCCCCCCAAGATCCCCGTCCACCACCACGCGACGGATCTCACGCCCGCGCAGGAGGAGGCCTCACAGGATCTACTCAGCCGTGCGACGGAGAGTCTGGAGAAGCGGGAGGATATCACGAAGAGTGCGCGCGACGCGCGGAGAAAGGCCATTCGGGAGGCGAACTTCCTGCGTGGACTGTAATTATCACTTTTCAGTCTCCGTTTCTGTTGTGTCGGTGTTTTATTAGCTATCTATATTGTACTGTACTATTGGGTGACGGATGTAGACTTGGGCCCTGTTCAGAACATTTTACTGTATTTTATGAGATTTTCTTTTCTTCTTTATTCTTCTCGTCTTTCTCATTAAGCGTGGGTATGGAAACGGGAGAATCCTACAAACCATGCGCCCTAACTATTTACTTATGAAAGATGAATACATAAGATAACATAGACTAAAACCATTCAACGACGAACCTCCCACTCCTTCACCTCCCCCTGACCCTCCATCCACGGCCGACAAGCATCCCACAGCGCCTGCAAGGGCCCATCGCCCACACTCACCAACTCCCGCCACAACTCCTTATCGGCCCTCTCAACCCACGCCAGGAACGCGACGACCAAGAAATCCGCATACCCCGGCCGGACGCCCTCAAAGAACGGGCCCTTCTTGCCGATCCGCCCGCGCAGCATCTGGGCGATTGTCGCCAACTCCGTCTTCATACCGTCGACCATGGCGCGCACCTCGCGCTCATCCCGCGGCCGCAGCTGCGACAGCGGCATGCCGAACCAGGCGGACCGCGTCTTGATGAAGTACTCCCGACCGCGGGGGTCCAGGATGTCTGCGATGCGGGGGATGATGAGCGTTCTGCCCTTTGCGGCGACTTTGTTGATGAGTTTGTCGACGGCGAGGGCGAGCGCATAGCTTGCGTCGAGGGAGGGGAAGAGGGGCGGCGAGGGGAAGTTCCGGTCGAGGTGGGCGGCGATGGCGAAGGAGTCCATGAGGGCGCCGTGTGGGTTTTCGGTGACTGTTGGTGGGTGGCTGATTGCGGGGAGGGTGAAGGGGATGCCTTCTGCGTTGGGGGGGAGGCCGAATTGGTGGCTGATGAGGGGCGCGATGTCAGGGTAGGAGATGAAGGATTCGACGTAGGGAATGCGCTTGTAGTTGAGGACCATGCGCGCTTTGAGGGTGTTGGGGGACCATGATTTGGAGGGTCCTGTATTATACTGAGGTTAGAGATTGATCTTGATAGGGGAGTGGACTGAGGTACTTGCCTGGGAGGGTGGAGGTGATGTCGAAGAAGTGGACGGGTGTTGTCTGTGCCATCTTGGTGGATGTCTGGACGAAGTGTTGGAGTATCAGAGTGTCAGAGTGTCAGAATGTCAGAGTAAGCAGAATGGTTGAGGTTATCTTTTTCCGGGTCCAGATTCTTTCTTGCTTATTGATGACCTTCAATGCGGGGAAATCGTCCGCCTTCCCTGCTCTCTCTTCCTCTTCGACACCATTCAGAATTAATTTCTTACCTCCACTGAACCAATCAGTGGAAAATTACAAATGAACTCTGTCCGGGGCTAATATGAGTGTCCGAATCATATTCTTACAACTGCAGGAGCCTCATCGGTGGCGGTTTCTTCGATTCTCTTTACTCCGCGGGGTCTGTTTACCCCGCCAAATCGAGATCGCGATGGAAAAGGTGGATCGACATTTAGGATACTATTCCGACCACATGGACATGCGACGGAAGAAGAGTCATGAGCACAAGCAATATGGTCCGGGAGGGAGATCAGCAGAATGGGTCATCGGGTCGCTAATCATCTGGAGTTGGAGCCCAAATCAGCCAAGCAAGAGTGGAGCATCGACGAAACAGTGACCGCCAAATCATCCTCCTGTGGACAACCTCTTTGTTTTGATTTCTGTCAGGTTCTCTGCACTATACAAGAAACAGATCAGGAAGAACGGCAGGGAAAATAAGGAGAAGGAAAAACACGAAGGCAGAAGGAAGACACCCCTGTCACCCATCGATACAACAGCTACAAGCATATACTGCAGCCTAACGTCACTGAGGGGTTCCGGTGGTTTCACCTCCTTTTTCGGACTAAGAGTGCTGGAAAGACGCCATGGAGAAGATCACTCGGCTTGCCAACCGTCTGTCCCTCGATGGTTCGGCAAAAACACCGGAGGTCAAGCCGGATCCAAATGCGCTGTTTTCGCCCGTCGTGACCTCCCATCTCGAGGAGATCTATGCCTCGCTGACGGCCTCCTCCGATGTCGACTTCGCCAAGGATATCCAACATGAAACCCCTTCGACAGACACCGAGACGGATCCGCTCTCATCCTTGGAAGCGTTCAAGGAGTACATGGCCGGTCCCAACGCGTCGGCCCTGCAACCGGCCCAGAAGCCCGATCTCACCGTCCCCATGACCGACTTTTTCATCTCCTCGAGCCACAACACCTACCTGACCGGTAACCAGCTGTCGAGTGACTCGGACGCGAGTGCCTACACGAATGTATTTATGGTCCATCGATGGTCTGTGTGATGCGATCTACGGCTAACCGTGTGTTAGGCTCTCCTGAACGGATGTAGATGCGTCGAGATCGACGTCTGGGACGGGGATCTAGATTCCGACAGTGATAGCGACGTGAGCAGCACCAGCAGCGAGTCCAGCTCGGACGACGAACAAACCAAAGAACGGAAGAAGGAGAAGCAGAAGAAGAAGGCAGAAACCGTCGGGCGTCGCAACACCGTCTCGAAAAAGCTGAATGGCCTCCTGGGCCGAAAATCCCCTCCCGCCGATGAGCCCGCCGAGGAGGAGGAGAAAAGCCTGGGAGCCAAGGCTCGGGAGTTGATCGGGA